ACACCGTATAAATATACATTCATTATTAGTTTATGTATATATTTAACTTGATCACCATGACGACTTCTGTGTTTTTTTTTACTGACTTTACGGTACGTACCTATATTGCAATTTTAAAAAAAAAATGGTAATCGTCTGCTGCTGACTCATGACCTACACGCACACGCTTTGAACATATAACTATTTATTCATCTTATAAATCACAATTCGACATTAAAAACTGACGAACCGATGAAATATCACGGCCCCATTCATTATGTTGCATACATTTTGCATACATTTTATCGTGACGTCACGTTACCGCCGTGATGATACACAATTACCGCCGTGGTGATACACAGCGCATTCTGGTGACCCGCTGTATATCAAAACTAACATTTCGCGAGAAAATATTTCACGAAATTATCACCTCGATTTGTGAAAATTTAACTTCAATAATTGCATTATTATGTCAAATAATTGGATTGAATATTTTACTCTGTGAGCCATCAGAATGTATAAACATCACTGTTCACGACAATTAGATCGCACTGAAAAACACTCTCATCTCGTTTGTAATCATGGTAACGGTTACCAAGTATATATAATTATTGTATATCATGTCCCATATTCTTAATTACGAATTCATCACTTTAATAATCGATATTGCAAAGGTCGATGACATTAGTTGTCAGATACGGGGTGTGGATCAACTTACACTTACACAATATGTATCATACACATAGAGAATTCTTATTACTGATATTAAAAAAAAGTGGCGCTGTTTTATTGTGAAAGAAATTAATGGGTCCTTTAAGATGCAATTATATACCTAGCATTAAACAAGATTAGAGAGGTGAAATACGTTTCTAATAAAACCGTTTTTATCGCCTTGCTTTCAAGAATATTTCTGTGAATAGCGACGACGGCTATTGAGAATTGTATTTATCCTCACTTACTGCGTCTAATAATGCCATCTCTGCAAATGACCGTCAGATTTTGACGACCACTGATGCTGTGGAAATAAGTGAGACAGTGAGCGGGCCGCCGGAACGTGCTAATATGGCGACCCCAAAAGAACAGTCACATTGCCACGTGTACCACGGTGATAGTGCACAGTGTATGTTATCATACAATAGACATCATCTAAATAGAAGATGGCACATGGCGATGGAAATGATTGTAAATGATCCATTATCTCATCAATCTGATAACAGGGTCTTGTTCACTTCATTAAAATAACAAAAAGCTACTTTGGCACAGGTAACGTAGATTCGCAGAAAAAAACAATAGACGTTTATTATTGTTCCCAACATACTACGAATCGCAGGTAAATCCGTGTGAGCATTGGACTCTATTATGGTTCTTTGAATTATCCGTTATATAAACGATCAAGTAAATACATAATTAAACAAACAACAAACAAACAAACATATACCACATTGTATTGCCATTGTATGCCGTTTATAGCATAGTAACAGCCTGGGGGATACTGAGATCTTTCCATCATGATCAGTATGGTAGAACTAACCTGTCTCACGACGTTCTACTAGCCTAGATCACTGACAAAGCCCCAGTCATTCTCGTTTATTTAGCATTGTCTAACATTCAATTGTCTTGATATGTTTTCTGCTTTGTTGTTCGTTTTGAGGCGCCTAATACAGTCACTATACCACAATGACAACCATATTTGCATGTATTTACTGCTGGGCCAATCTAAGTGCTGAACGACTACCATGTGACCCATGACGTAGAACCTATGCCTTTAAAAGAACGGAAGCGGTCTAGTTCTATGTCGTCATCATGGTCATCTTGTTATACTGTGAAAGGTCTCAATTGAAAGATACAGTACAGCTCAGTGATATATGGCTGGTTGCTAAGTAACAGTTTCACTGTCACGCTAAGAGATAGACGAGCATGCTCTAAGGTGATTGGACGGCCAAGAACCAAAACGTTCTTCCAATGGCATAGGTACCAGGTCGTGTGTCGTGCAACACTTTGATAGGTCCAGAGATACAAATATAATTGTAATTGACATGTGGTATAGTGCACATGGCTGTATTGAACGTCCGTCAATGGAGCAACTCGCAATCTTGGTAACCCTTTCAAAATAAACGAGAATGCGTGAGGCTGTGGATATATGATTTAGCGGCTGGTTTAGTATCATTTTAGCGTATCTCAGCATGGTAGTGCGTTTTTTTCTAATAAATGGTGATTCTTGTGAGATTCTGTGCTAATTAGCCCGAACAATTCACTGGCGTGCTGTACACGCATTGTAATCTATTTGTGATGTGTATATCTTAACGCTTTCGAACATACTCTTGTGTCGAGTGACGAACTTTCAATATCCGACAATGATTGTCACTTGTTCAGATACTCCCCCGTTCATCGTACGATGAACCCAAGGACACTCGTCGCTGATACCACCACTAACTGTAAATGTGTCTTTTTCATTAGCCAAGGACGATTCGATAAAAGCGCCGTTCCACTATGCAGTTGTACATGTGAAGAAAGCGGCGATCACCACATGTTTCCAAGAACGCATTGTTAACGTCTTTCGCAGACACACTGGCATCAGCACTATTGAGCGAAAAAACGGGTTTCGATGACAAATGAAAGCATTCAAATGATGTTTACGGAAACCGACTTAAAAAACGAACGTTGGTTCGTGCTCAATGCCGTTTTGATGGACAGCTCTATCTACGTAACATTAACCTCATTTCAACCAAGTATTTTCCCGGCAAAGTAGTTCTTCCGTCTAATAAAAATGAATTACAAACTACAGCCTGATATGCCTCTGACAACTACGAATTCCCAAGTTACTGTAATTACGCATATTGCGAAAGGCACCCTGGGTAAAGCTATTATAGAAGTTGAGTGAGTGGCCTTGCTTTTATGATACGAAGCGCCTGTGTGTGCGTGTATATTTTTTAAGGCTGAAATAACGAATAAGACTTCGTAGAAAACAGAAAATAGAGTGACAGTACGTCAAATAGAAGTCTTTGGGTTTAATTGAGAGTAGAAGCCCGGAAATCAGAGACTTTTGGTTTACGTCCGAATGAATAAATAATCCGTATTGTGCTGAAGGACGAAGAAAAGGTCTAATTTCCCCCAAGCGCATTAGCCAGCCTTATATTTAGTCAGAGTTTGGGTGTTAGTTAACCGACTGAGTGTGACGTGTCATTAACTTTTCTCATGCAGGCTACATAAGCTTCCTGTACAGGTTTGTATTAATAGCTTGTGTTTCATGTTCAAACCGCCGTCCAAGCGTGTGTTAGGAATTCACCGCCACACACAGCCAATACGTTATGTCATGTATTGCCCAGTGGCCCGCACAGTTCTGTATCTAAATATGGACGCGGAAAAAAATCCCCCACAGATGATGTCATTAATATTATCTGTATAAATCTGATAGTATAGAGTTTTAACAATATATCAAATCAAATTGAATCACAGACATGTCAGTACACACGAGACTACTGACGCGTGTTTACATCATATACACACACTCCAAGATAAAGCGTGTTGGCGACATTCGAGCTGATTTAATTGAAGTCATAAGTCTCGAGTGCAATGAATATTTTCTGTTTTACACGAATATGAAATTTATTGAACGGGGAGATGGTCGCGTGGCTTCTTGTGTGTACTTTTTATTTTATTTGCACGATCAAAACTGGGTGTATATTCGTCTATCTGTGTTATTATCTTCATCCAGTATATGATGTATCGACATGAATGACGATGTAATATTAATTTATCTTCTTTTGGCGAAAGAGCCGGCGTCTCTGGAGACACCTAAATCAGTCTACAGCAGTGATGTTTGGCGTTATGTTTCAGACGGCAAATACGCCCATTAAAAGGACCATTAACTTTTGAGACCATTTCTCATAGTTTTGTTGATTTGATTTATGCCATTTTTCAGAGCAATAGCTGAACCTGATAGTAGGCGGTTTTGAAGAAACACAAAACAATGTCACGTGATGCGACGAGATTAGGTTGGATTGGTTTGAAGAGCATGGTGTATAAAAACATTCCCTCATGCCAAATCAAAAAGGCGCGTATTCCAGTCATTTTACAGGAAAACGGAAATACGCCGTAAACAGCACATGTGAATAGCTTTTCAGTATTTGTACACGTAATTCGAACACGCTGCTTGGCGCTTTAAAGTGCGGTGGTTATCGCGCCGCGCAGTGAAGTACGTACTCATATCCACAAGCAATATGAAATAATAATAACTAAAAAATTAAATATAGTGCAATAAAAACGGCGGACGTTAAAGATCAACACAAGTCCGTTGATAAATCGATACAATCACCATCGTCGAATATGACAGAAACACTCACTAATTACAATCAACAATTCGAGTAGCATTGAATGAACCCAATTCAACCCCGGGGCGCGGAGGCGGGTATTATATGGATTGAACTCAGATTGCCATACCTTCGCATTACTGCTAACTCCGGTCATCGCTGGGAGATAATTAACTTTTTTTTTCAAAGCGGGAACCGAAAGCAATTAAACTACCGAGCGGCAACAATTTGAGCAAGCTAATCGGCCCACAAATTATTATCCCGAGAGTGTGCGTAAATATAATGTAATGCATTTCATGGGCGTTAAAAGTGCAGTAAACATTACAGACAACATCGTTCTACACGGAAAACACATTTATTAGGACATTCCCCATGTGCATACTGAAAACAACTAATAGAACCTGCACGACTGGCTTTTGAATAGATATGAAAATCGACGTGACCATATACAAAAAAAGATACTCATAAAATTGCATTCTTCCGTCACAGCGAGACATCTTTTCAAATGTATTTGAATATAATACTGATAATGTTCCCAGCTAATTGTTCATCCACTTTGCATTATGTCATTTTCCAAAGTGCGCTGTGTGCTGTAAAAAGCCGGTAAGTTGACTTCATCATGATCACCACAGAGCCGATTGTCTCCAGACACAATATTGGCGTTTTGCATAAAACCATCTCAACTTTTTTTTTCAATTTCTCATCTACGTTTCATAGCGAAGTTTCGATTGGTAAAGTGCAGTATTCCTCATCCTCGTTCAAGGGCCCGCATTCTATAGGAGTCATCAAGCCGAGCACCACTTCGTAAGCTGGCGGCGAATCGTCGGGCAGATTGTTCAACGCCGTGGCGCTCTCTTGCATGCTGCGCGCTCCGCCACGTTGAACGAACTCCATTATAGGGGACGTCTCGTCGCAGTCATTCTCGTCACCTACGTCCTCCTCGGGTTCCGCGATGGCAACCGCGTGTCCGTTGCCAACGTTACTCCTACAGGAGACGCTGTGGCGTAACAGGTTGCCATTGGCGGCGTCCATTAGCAACGCCTCGGAATAACTCGGTGCGATATGATGATTGTTGCTAATTCGTAACTCCAGACTTCTACTGCTATCGACAGTGATGTCACGTGGTATATGCACACTTCCGTTCCAGTTTTCCATGGACGAATACGTGGAATAATTCGTCCCAAAAAGTTTTTCAATTTGGTAATGGACATAAGCTGTTTTAAATTCAATTAAGACACGGATCGGCCAAGACAATAGACAGATGGACAAGAACCAAAATATAATTAGTGAAACATACCATGGAAGCTTGTTTGATTCGGCAAAAGCAATCATGTGTTCTTTAAAATCCAAATCACTTAAGTTCATGCCCTCGCGTGTCTCCATGTAATCGTCCCTACCTTCGTTCTCCCCGAAGAACCGCGATCTCTGTGCTAAGTAGTCATTCTCGGCCTCCTCGTTGGCAAATATGAAACTTTTAGTAAATTTGATCTTGGTGGCTGGGTACGCTTCCAGTGCCACCAGGTCCCGTGAAATGTCCTTCACTCCACACTCGGAGAAGTCGAAAGCACCGAGAGATGAGTGAGAGTTCACCCTCTCGTAGTACTCCTGCGTGGTAGTATAGGCGTCCCCGTTGCGATATCGCGTCACCTGCCTAGTCCTACGAATATAATGGTAACATATCGCCCTCCACCACACGACGGGGTATGAGTCTCTCATTCGTTGCATCATATCGTACACAACAGCGACATCCTCTTTATACTGAAGTTCCACCCTGGTGTGACAATGCCAACACTCGATCAGGTACACCATATATATTAGTATGAGGAACGCGATGGGTATGTAGATGTACCCGTCGTCACATGGGCTCCCTGTCACGTAAACTGGAATACCACGGTAGTTGTAGGCTCGCATAGTTACGGTTGTTAGGCGACACCAACCTATAATTCCAAGACTGGCGTAAATCAGAACAGACAGTATTAAGCATTTCCAGTGCGTGTCTCTGCGAAGAGATCCACAGAAGCTTTGCCGGATTGGACGAATCTGTAAAAAAAAAAAAGAGATGAAGAGATAAACAAGATTATAAAATAATCAACAAGAAAATTTTCTCGGAATTGCAGGTAATGTGTGATAAAATGAGTTCATCGACGGGACAGTCGTTATTAGTCGACTCAATGTCGCTGGTAACCATTTTAACCTTTCTTGAAGAACGACCCGGATTACAAATGGCGGCGTCATGTTGGTTTCAAGACTCGGCGCACGTCAGACCCGACCTATGTGGCTATTACCTGTGTCTACAAACCAAACCCAGCGTTTTATTTCGACGTGAATCGTATCTATAGCAACCAATATAGACAAACAACAGTCGATTAATCTATTTCACACTCGCGTGTACAAACACTTCGTCGCAACACAAATTACGTTTTGCTCTTGAGCAAATAACACCATCTACTGATGTTCCTGCTAGAATTTTGTCAATCTAATTTTGTTGTCATGGTTACTTTCACGCCAATTTGCAGATTTGTCTATTTGTTATTTGATTTCATTACTTGTTAGTATGTTAGGATGTCTAATGAAATGAATGAAACGGGTCACGACAGATTCGCCCATGGCTTGCCCATTCACGTGACAACATTGCTGAAAATAATATGTACATTATATTATGTAATGCTTTTAACTTCAAAACATAGCCATGGAAACACATCTCAGGAAAGCATAATGAAAATAATAATTATTACATTATATATGAAATCGGAATGTGTTTACAAACTTTTAGTCATAAAATGAACATGATATTCAGTCGCCGACAAACTGAAATGCTATCATTGACTTCTTTAAATTTGAAAGTAGACTGATAACCACATTAATAACGACATATCTCGGTTACTATAAAGAGCGATCACGCAGTCGCAACTAACTCTACGTCGTTTTGCGATCTTTTAATCGAACATGAGAAGATTTCCCCAAATATGGTTCGTCTAGACAGAAATAACAATATCTCTAATCAATCATACAATCAATCAGTCAGTGTCAGTACATTCACGGAGGTATAGATGGCGATATTAGTCGTATCACGCAGGAAAGATAACGTCATGCACGTATTCGTTCTAGCAGCAGAGACAGTATGGCGTCTCGGTGGGAGGTGTAGGGGTGGTGAGCGATAGCTGACTACTCGATTTTCTTCAGCATCTATGTATTAGTACATTAAAAATCAAGGTGGCATGTAATGGCATCTTTACACATAAAGTTGTGTTTTAGTGATTCTATTACAAAAACAAACAAAACATTGCGAGATCGGAGCTACTTACTAATTAATATGCCCGAAACTTGTAGTCCAAAACAATCAAATGTATGCGTAGAATAATTTGCCAGTAATTAACTTGCTTTATATACGAAATGGCAAAACAAATGAATTGTACCTGCAGCTTTTTTAAAAGAAATAACAAGAAGTTAAATTACTTTATGGCTTAATTATATGTGCTGATAGCGTAGATACGAGAACTGAATGATTGTGTCGTCTCACAGGCACAGTAACATGGCGAGTGACTGTTCTAGATCACTGGCCGGTGATATCATGGTACTATGTTTACAAAGATATTTACAACCGGAGAAATCTACTCGAGGAAATGAACCAAACATTATTTGATCTGTGTCCACGTGATCCACTGATCAGTACGATTACACCGGGTGATTTTAGCGATTCAATAATATTGTTTCGAACATCTTGAAATGTAAAGCTAATTTCCACAATTACTAATTGCATCGTCACAAAGTATTCCTGGGCCAGTGTACGGCTGATCATTGTTAGAATGCGAGGGATATGTAAGTTTTATTTATTAGCTAATTTGGGAAAGGCAACCATTTGTAAAGCCTATGACAATTCATCATCGTACATGATTAAAAAATAGCATGCTATAGCTCAATACAGTTTTTTTCTCGTCTTACAATACGCAGTACGCCTGACTGTTATCAATTTATGTCAGCGAGCATTGAACGTGACAGCTAGTCAGCGCACGGCATGTTTACCCCCCAAACATCGTGTCTGACTGAAATATTAGTGCATGATACTACCTAATCAGACTGAGGCAACACAATTAGAAAAGCCATTCCCTTTCACATGGTAAATTGTCTATCAAATCGGGGTAATGTATAATGTTGTTCAGTGATGTAGTTCGGATGACCACATGGTGATTACTATCCCCGTGCAAGTATTAGTGTTAGGTGTGCTTGGTATTCACTTGCCAAAACCTACCATTATTCAACCACAGGGACTGTGATTCAACAAACGATCATACAGCATATTGCATTCGAGACACGTGCCTCTCTGAATGCAGTCCCATACATGTGTCAGCTTAACTCACATTGTGCACGTGTACTATAAATCTTGATGCGTAAAAGTGGAATTGAGAGTTTTGATTTGCCATCACAAAGCCACCAGGCAAAGCAGTAAACTGTGAATCATTCCAAAGTGACAGCCGACACAAATAGAAAAGCTTGTGCGTTGCATGGTAATGATGGGCAGAAAAAATGTACGTTTGCATTAAAGGAAACTTGTGGATTAACGATCCGGGAAAATGTCAAATAATTCCCCCCGCGATCGTACTGACGATATACATTAGGACTTAAAGCTACTTTTGTTTGACGCAGTGTACAATGTAGTCACCTGCGTACAATAACAAGCACGGGACACGATATAAAGTTAAACCTACTTAGTTTAGTCCAACTCGTCCCCTAAAGCCAGGATAGCTGTGTCGCTGTAACTTTTCATTATAGTCCGAATGATTTCTCATTCCAAAGAAACTCGGGTAAAAAAAAAAAACGGACAGCGTCATTCACAACGAAGCAGCTGCTGAACAGCGTTAATGGGAATTCCTAATGCGCATCCATGTCATGTGTTAAGGTGTATCGTTTCCATACCTCTAGTATAAATTATGCCGATTCCATTTGATTATAGAATTCCCAAGAATATACAGTATTATTCTTAAATGATGTAAATAAATGATAGATTGAAATCAATTGTTGTAATGGAGCGAACGGGGGACTACGGTATCTATTACTGGACATAGATGATGATGTATCAGTTAACATATTCTGTACATACGAATATAGAAACGAATGTTTATTGTAATCATATTTTCAAACAACGTCGATGAAGTCTTCCATCATCTAGAGACACGCAACGACTCAAACAGATTCGAATTTATGCAGCGACATCATAGAAATACACTACAATGCGTCCACATCAAGTACTAACAGCTCATGACATCGATGATTTATTGTGGATGGTGATCATTTACTAATGTGTTGGAGGATTCGCCCGATAAAATCTGGCATCTCTTTACCAAGTAATAAACTTTAATCTGAAATGGCCGCCGAGTTCTCGTTGGAAGAGAAAAGCCGCGAGACTCAGGCTTATTTTCACACATTCACTGTCGTCTGTTCCAAATACCGTGGTTACATGGGTCAGCAGAACATTCGAAAATTATTCGCGTGGCTCTCCGCTCTTAACGAGATTTCAGCGGCCATTTAACAATAAAGTATATTCAGCGTTGGCTATACGAACAAGCATAATACGGGTAATTCTGTATGAGAACAACTGACATAAATACCAAACAAAAATCCTCACAAAGAGAGAAGATAACACTCACATTCTCTCAATACCCACTAAGAAAAACTCTTCATCGTTATGACATGAGTCAAGAATATGTGACCCAATTTACCGACGATCCATCACTACTTTCTCATCACATCTCAGCTAGTACGTGGGGGTTGTACGTGTTAGTTTTAGACAGCTGTTATTTTATTCAAGAACTACAACTTAAGTCAGTAATCAAAACATGTCATTTCTATCATCTCATGGGTATAGCTTGGCATTGCTTTGATGCAGTTTGAATTCATGATTTATAACACACAAGGTAATGAGTACTCTGCTAATTGTATGCAGTACGTTAAGAGAGTAATGATCTAATATACTAAAGACATACCCGAGGGTAACATTACACCTTGATGCTTTACATGACATTAGGTACACACAAACTTTCTAATTTGAAATGTCTCAAAGACAATCATGTTGATTTATACACACGAAAAATGCTTAAATATCATGACATACATAAGACGTCAATATTCACAAGTGGAGCAATTTGTGCTCACTTTGTTCGGAACATCTGACATCACTTCATGTATACCATAATGGATTCATATTTCGTTCTTTTATTGATTTGAATATGTTGTTAATTGTCTTGTTTCTGTAGATTTATTTTTGGTTCTTGAATTCCTTGTAAGACACGAACTATGCTTGGATATGTTATTTCTAATTTATTCAAAGTTTTGAATATTCCAATTTATTCTATATATAAAGAATAAATGAAGCTTCAGGGCCACATAATGTAACATTCCCAGTGTTTTAAAAGAGGTAATGTCAATCCTTCGAATTGCACCATGGAATCATGGGATTGCACATTCTACATTAATGTTTAATTGTAATTTCTGTCAGGTTCGGTACATTTGCTTTGTGGTCAGGCTCACAGCAACATGCGCGGTAATCTGTTTTTCTATAGTACATTTATCAGCAAAATGGTCACTGAATGACAAGTGCGCATGACTGGCTGCGTAAAACGTCACCAGAGGTTGTCAGCAACACGTGACACCCGATGGTGGATAAGCGAGCACGGATCCGTGGATAAACGAGCACGGACCCAACTTGTCGCGTTCCATATCAACGTAACCATAATTTTCAGCTTGAGTGCACTTAATGGAACGCCATTTATTATTAAATTCGATTCCAGCTCCAAGCCTCAATTCGCTGAAAATTTACAATACATTTCGCTCTGTTATCACTATTTTTTTTATCGAAATTCGTTGCGTGTTTTCGGATATTTTAATTATTGGATTGTATATTACAGCATTGCGTTCTTAGAAGAGAAATAGTTTGCATTTTAAAAACGATTAAAGCTGATAAGAATAAAAGCACAGTGATTAAAATCACTGGTAAAACGAATAATGTACAAAATAACTCCTATGGGTATGCGGACCTCTTATAGAGGGAAATATATCATTCACTATGTACTGGCGTTACACAATGTTCATATCATATATACGATACTCGTCGTGATTTGGTTATATTTATTACTGGTATTAAATTCGAAGCGAGAAAGCTGGTAATAAAAGAAAACAGTTTCATTCGCAATTACGCGCGCATTACACCTAAGGCCGTTAGCGGACATTTTATTGTTTTC